GTCACTCCAAAATTTTTTAGACGGTAAAACCTTCACCTCAAATGAGGAGGTCAAAAACCTCCTCGATCAGTTTTTTGCCAGCAAAGACCAAAAATTTTATGAGCGTGGAATTATTCTACTACCAGAAAGATGGCAAAAGGTGTTGGACCAGAACGGTCAATATATAAATAATTTAATAAAGTATTTGTTTATTATACGAAAACTGTCTTTCATTTCCACAAAAAAAAAACGAAATGACTTTCCGAACAACCCAATAGATATATTAATATAGGAACGGAGCATGAAAAGGGTGGTGCAAAGCTTCTCAGGGAAACGTTGGTGGTGTCTAACGAGTAGCTAATAGAATCTAGACACCTACCACCACTAATTATGATTAAATTGGACAAAAATAACGATAGTTATTATTTATGGCTAATGCAGACGCAATTTATAAACCCAGTTTCGTATATTTTTGTAATGCTATAGGTATGCTACATATTTATTTTTCTTTTGTGTGTTATTCTCTATTCTCAACGGGTTCATTGCAATTTTCTTTTGTCGTTATTGATGAGAGAAAGTTTGTGTGACTTTCCAGGAGGACGTCGAGATTTATGGAGCGGGAAAAAGACGCTTTAATGGTCCGAGCGAATAGTCTCAAGAGGGCGATACGCAGCCTGGTGGAACACACCGAACAAGTGGTGGACGAGCAAAACAGACAATCAACGACCACCGTTCCCACGGTGAAAATTTCATTACTCGGCTCGTCCAGCATTGACAGGACCACAACGAAAAACATTCCAGATGGTACGTAATCACAATAAAACACCGACTTTACAAACAATCCACTTGTAGTTTTCTATTAAATGAAACCACGATTGTTACGCCGAAGTAAAGGGCAACTTTCCCGACTCCCTTATGAGAAATTTGTGAAGTTCAAAGGCAAACTTATACAATTTCGTAGAGTATTCCTGCTGTACTCGTGAAAAGCTATTAAATAAATCTAAGACATCACTGACCATATAGAACAAAACAACACTGAGAAACGGTTCATTATTTTATTTAAAATTGTTTTGGGTCTATTCCAGATTTAAAAAAAATAAAATAGTTTCATTCAGACGAATAATATAAATTCTTGGCCATTAGTTTATATTATTCGTATTCATTTCGTTTACCATCAAATATACAGGGTACTTTCCTATTTGAAAGTATAGTCTAGAGCCAGTCCGACCCTGGTAGGATCACGCAGAGAAATACGACATCGCAACGCCGCATTCAATCAGCTGCAGCATCCGTCTTGTACGAGTATTTCTTTTGTATTATGTGTTCTTAATACCATGTCGAGGTGTACTTTAAATATTACAGTATACTGTCAGCAATGAACAAAGTAGTTAATTAATTACTATTAATATTTGCTTTATTAGTTCTTCCACAATCGTCTTTACTTACATTTTCTATCGGTGTAGCTACTTGATTGTTATCGCTGTACGTTGCCATTCACGCCCAGGGCCGGCTTCGGATTGAAACTCTGCTCTTCTTACAAATTGTTTTGTCTCCTAGTCACACTGCTTTACACATCATGCAATTCCCTATTGGTTGTTTTAGAAACACCCTGTAACAGCTGCGGGGTCGATTTAGTTATGTGTTTTTGAATACCCAAGGAAAAATTACATCGGAAGGTTTTATAGTCTAACATGTTAGTCTGATATTTAAAAATGATAAAATCACAAAGTGCTGCTAAATTGTAGGGTGCATTATTGGGACCCGACCAAAATTGTCCTTTTTTTAATTTTTTCAAAATAGCTCGAAAATTAAGTAAGATTCAAGATACATTTTGAAATTGAATTCATATATTACAACGTATTTGATAATTTAATTTCTAGTAATCGAAATAATTATTGATACATTCGAAAAATGTTTCTATATTAGTGTAACAGATTTAGTTGTTGATTCCTTTTCATCGACTGATTGATTACTCACCGGAAACGAATATTGAACGATCACGTTGCGGTTGAAAGCATGCAAATTAGCTTTAAACTTACCCTTTTATCTTAGCATAAGCTCCTGCCTTTCAAAAAAACCTTTTCTTACAGAAATAGAGGCACATGAAACTTTTGTACCGTCATGTTGAAACTTCTGAAATCAATTTATAAAATTTTCAACGTTTACGATATGGGTTTCTGAATAACTTTTTAACAAACTGTCTAAGAAAGAAAAATGTGGTTTCCAAAGGTCGACTTTGCTCAAGAACACTAATAAACTTTTCACGCTCCCGGCGCGCAAACATACGTACAAGTTCTTGCTCTTTTGGAGTCTTTTTTCAGACTATTCTTTGTTATTATTTCAAGCAACGGGAACACAATATTCAAATATTTTATTTTATCCTAGCTACGTAAATCAAGTTAAGGCTCATGGAAAAAATGTGCTGGGCACGATCTCGAGGGGACTTGCAATAAGAGAAAACCAGCGAAGGGAAAGTTATCATTTAATTTATTCGGGTTGCTTTACTATCCTGCGGCGTGGTGGAGGGTATGCAAGGAGTTAGGTGAGGAAAAGGGTTGTGGAAAGACCTTTCATCCTGTGGGAAAGAATCGAACCCAAAAAAGAAAGAAATTCCATGAAACTGTTATTTTTTAATTGGTATCCGAAGGAAGAAGAGGGAGGAGGGATTAGGGTCAGCTGTACCATTTTTGAGGACTAAAAAAATCAATTTTTGAACTCATTTTACTAAGGGAAACCATTCTCCACCATAACCTAACCTGCACAGGGATGCATATGTATTTACACAAGCCAAAAAAGTTAAATTTTATTTTTTTACCCGAAGGGGAGGTTTTATTATCACCTCTTATCCCCTTTGTCCTTCCAACAGGATGCTAATTAATTAACAAAACTTTATGGAATAATAACCTTATTTTTTCTCTTTATTCTATTTTCCACCTGTCTCCCCATCGAGGGAAACATTTTCCAACCCCTTCTCGTTCTGTACCTACTCGCTGTATGACGCACGATATTAATCGACCCATTTTATCAAACGCTGACGTNTAGAGAACATTTTTAAAATTGTCAACGATATTATCAGGCAACTCTTGCAAATTTTTAAACGCATAGAAAAGAAAACAAGAGGACCAACACGAAACTTTAACCAGAGAAAGGCGCTTTAATAATTAAGGAAATTATTATTTCTAAAAGGAAATTTTAACCAACTTGTTGAAGTTCTTTCTGTGATACTTAAACAATTACAATATACATACATACCCTTAAAATTTTAAATTGTCACTGTCATCTGTGACAAATACTTCTTCCCGCTTTTCCAATAACTACTACCTTGTATACACACATGAAGACATACTATATTATTATTGTTACTGTAGTTATGTTAAAATAGTTTATACAAAAGGATTCCTGTAGCTGTTGTGTGGTTACAAATCAAGATGAAGACCGTTTATTTTTAAATTTTTATTTCCTCTTCAACAATTGTTTATTTATTTATTTCATTAGGTGATAATATCCAGCGAAATACTTTAATTGCGCCTTAAAAATACTTAAATTAGGTGAGATGTTTATTTGAGTAAGTATAGTATACTTCGCTTGGATGGAATTTATCGCGCCGAACATGACCGAGCAGAGCGCGAGAACTCCAGAACGTTGTTTCGGTTTCGGTCGTAGTTTCGGCAGGTTTGCCGCCGAAACCGAAACTAAACCGCAACTCGTTTTTTTGCCGAAACTCGACCGAAACCGAAAATTTCGGTCGGACACTACAATCAACTATTTATGAATATTAATGGAGAAAATTAACATTAAAAATCTATGTAAGTATAATCCATAAAATGCCACATTCCACTATTGTTTCACAATCTAAAAAACCCTGATGAACATCATAGACTAAAATTGATTAACTTTTCAGTGCTTATTACTGCATAAAAAATACAACACTGTGATTAATTATTTGGATCATTGTTTAGCTATTTGATTCCTAATAAATTTGCAACATTTAACAGCTCAATTGCTTTTCATAATTTTTTTACCCGAAGGGGAGGTTTTATTATCACCTCTTATCCCCTTTGTCCTTCCAACAGGATGCTAATTAATTAACAAAACTTTATGGAATAATAACCTTATTTTTTCTCTTTATTCTATTTTCCACCTGTCTCCCCATCGAGGGAAACATTTTCCAACCCCTTCTCGTTCTGTACCTACTCGCTGTATGACGCACGATATTAATCGACCCATTTTATCAAACGCTGACGTTTCTACTAATATGAAATGGTTTTAATATTTCAGCTCGTGTTTTAATAAACCAATAACGTCAATGTTTCCTTATTAAAAATTTTCAAATGAAACAATTTATTTTATGCGGTGTTGGTAGGTACCTATGTACATGTAGATTTAATTAAGCTCCAACAATACGCAATTTTGTACTAATTCATGAGCTTTTCAAAAATCTCTAAATACCTGCGCTTGTTTTGCCTGAAAAGCACAAATAAAACTTCATGTAAAAAATATATTCGAAATTAAGCCCAAAATTTAGACTGTCATTAGATCTTTCAGACGGGGACCATAAAATGACATCCCTAAAAGTTTTGCCCACGGTCGAATCGGGTTCGAGTACTGACATTAGTCCCTGCCCTTCACCATCGAGTCAATCTTCATCGGTCATAACCGCTAAGATTGTCTCCATATCTCCCATGCCAGACGTTAGGAGGGAATCCACCTGTGATGATCCTGTATTAATGCAAACGCTGCCGGTTCCTCCAGATTTCGCAGACAGTAGAAGAGCAAGTCAAGTTCAAAGGTAAACTTCAACTTTTGACGTTAGATATCTATAAAACATATGCGGTTGTGTATCTTCATCGTTTACGTAATCTGTTTAAATCCTTTTCTGGTCTCATTGTCAATCATAATCTAGTTATTAAACATCTTACTGAAATTAGAATTCTATTCGAAATATTGAAATGAATACTCATCAAATCTAGTTGGTGTTAGAAAGTTTGAAAGTATATTCTGTAATGTAGTACCGGCCTGGATGAATCCACAACAATAGAAACATTGCTAGCTAGTACGTCAAAATTGAAAACAATGGAACAAAAAGGGTCTGGTGATTCCGAAACCATCACCAACGAACAATTGTTTGTACAGCAACGTCGCCGGAGCAGTGCCACGAAGGACACTCAAGACATTAAAATAGAGTACAAAGCAACATGGGAAGAAGAAAAGGAATGCAGTAGCATAGCATCGAACGAAGAAGAAATGAGTTTTCCATCGGAAATAATAGAACCAAAGTCATTTTGTCCTAGAAAAGACAGCGATGGGGAAGACGTCAACGGTCACATTTATCATATAGACTCTCCAGAAACTGATACGTATCCAACGTCGGAAGCTCTCCATGGAGAATCGTTGATGGACGACATTAGTTCCGTAGGCCAAGATCTTTACGGTTTCGATCAAGACAGCATAGAAAATACATACAGTGACGACACCACATTATTTGCAAGCGAAATAGGAGAGCCAAAGAAAGACAAAATTGTTGAAAGGAAAAGAAGTTTCAAGAGAATACCGAGCGAGAAGAAACGAAGAAGCTCATGCAGTCGAATAGATGAAATAACACAGTTTGGCTTTGAAAACAAGCTGTTTATGCAACACAATAAGATTTTGGATAACAGATTTGACAAAGAGACTGTTAGATATTGTAGTCTAGCTCAGTTCGTTGAAGGAAACGATATCGCTCGGCGATCATTCAAAAGAAGAAACACTTCGAAGAAGGTTGAACTCATTATACAACGGCAAAGTACCGTTATAGAAGAACGTGAACCGAGCATCAGAGAATCGAGGTCGAGCTTGAAGGATTCCAAAACCAGTTTGAATAAAATCGAGAAAGAAACCTCCAATATATCTGTGTCTTTCAAAAACCTCAAAGCTGAATTAGAAGAAAGCCTATCGTTAGAAGCAAACTCTGGAAAAGCTGCTGCAGATAACAAAAGTGAATCTTTTCGTCCTGTTTTCCCTCAAGTGATTGTGGAACCTCCGTCGCCCATAATAGACGAAGAAGCGCGTGGTAAGCGACTGGAATATCTGCAAACTGCTGGGGATTACGATTCCGATTCGTGTTACGAATTACACATAAAATCATCAGAGAAAAAGTCTGGAGACAGTTCCGGCAGTGTAAACAGTTTCGATTCAAATTTACATCCGCCATTAGAGAAAGACTACATGCACTTTTTAAGTTGTTCGCCGGCGGCCACGAGACGAATATCGTCCTGTAGTTTACTAAACCCGGCAGAAGCATCGGTACTACAAGCTGCTGCCGCTTCTAAACGTTTAGACGATAATAAAGAGAGGAAAATTGAAAAGGAAAAGAAAAGCCGAAAGCTTCCCATCATAAATCCTCTGGTTATGCTTCCGACATGGCCAAGTAAGTAGAATTTTAACGTTTCCCTTTTTATCACTTTTTCAATTGAATCTTTCCGTAGACGTCAGTAGTGGAGCCGGGTTTATCAGCAAATGTCTTTTAGCGAATGCAGACACCCTTTGTGCTGCCGTCAGTCCACTGATGGACCCTGACGAAACACTCTTGGAGGGATTCTTTGAAAGATGCGTGATGAACAATTACTTTGGAATTGGAATCGATGCCAAAATATCGCTCGATTTTCATCACAAACGGGAAGAACATCCGGAAAAGTGCAGATCGAGGGCGAAAAATTATATGTGGTACGGTGTGTTGGGAAGCAAACAGTGGTTGCAGAAAACTTATAAGAATTTAGAACAGAGGGTTCAACTAGAATGCGATGGACAAAAGATTCCTTTGCCGAGTCTTCAAGGAATTGTGATACTTAACATTCCAAGGTACCTACCCAATAATATCGGGTTGTTCGGAGTCATTTCGTTTTTTTTTGTGGAAATGAAAGACAGTTTTCGTATAATAAACAAATACTTTATTAAATTATATATTGACCGTTCTGGTCCAACANCTCGATTTTAATGCGAAAATGAAATTGAAAGAGACCTTTTTTTACAAAAGCTCATAGTTTTTATTTAAAAACGAATCCTCAAAATTTCCACTTACCTAGCTTGTTATTTTTATTTTTTTTTTAAAGAACCAAAATAGGAAAGCTTTATAAAAGGATTCGTTAGTGAATTTAGCACGTTTCCGTTGGTGTGTTAAATTTAGATTTATAAAAGGTGCAGTTTTTGAGACAAGCATTTTAAATTCTGTGAAAACAATGTTTATATTACTGTGTGCACTTTTTCAGTTGTAAACAACTATTGTAGATTTGCAATAATAATCTGCTGTAAGTACTTATTTCTAGTAAAGATTTACGGCTGTTTACGACTTGAAATTATAGTAGATACATTGTTGGGCCAAACTGTCGTAAAATGTCGATAAATTACAATTTATAACTGTAGATAATTGTGAAAGGGGAAAACTGAATAAAAGCTTCAAGTTCAGATAATCGAATTTTGCTATGCTGTCGATGTAATTCAATTAAACAAAATGTGAAAATGCAAAACTCAGAATTGTTAGGGGTAAATAAGGATTTTATTTATTGAGGAATGGTATTGATATCTAGTAAATGAATTTTACAGTCTGTATAAGTTACAGGTCCAGTAACAGATTTGTCAATGAATGTCTCAATTCTTCAGCTCATTCTCTATAATGAATTATTGAAAATATTAAAACAAGTTTACATGATAATATAAAAGTTGTTAACAAAAAATTAAACTGAAATGAACAAAAAAATATTAACATCACGCTGCAATCCAAGACTTCTTGCTGATTCAATCAAATGTACCATAATATTACGAGATAATTCCACATTTAAAAGAGCGTGGTGGGAAGACGCGCTACGACTCTTGCCGGAAAATTTTAAAAGCTTTAATTTTAGTTGCAAACAAGGAATAGAAATAACTGAGAAAGTAATCTATGTAATCTTCCCTTGAGGGTGACATCATTTCTCTCTGTCTTTAGAAACAGTGCCAAGTTGCAGTTCTTCCACTAGGAACGGGGAACGATTTGGCTAGAGTGTTGGGATGGGGTGCATCTTGCGACGACGACACCCATTTACCACAGTTGTTAGAGAAATACGAACGGGCTAGTACCAAGATGTTGGACAGATGGAGTATAATGACATTTGAACGTACAATCGCTATTCCAAAGTTATCGTTGGATACCACCCAACCTGAAGGTACCTTTAAAGAAACGAAAAAGAACAAAATAAATTTTAGTTGTTCTTAAATAACGATAAGCTTCGCACCTGTTTTGTAAGTTTTACATGATTGCAACGTCCTTTTAAATCGGGTCTCAACCGAACAAATTAAGATCTCAACAGTACAAATTTAATATCGATCTCGACCTTATACGTCGAGTTTTTCTGTTGATTTTGAATCTACGAAGTCTTGCCCTTAATGTACATTACACGTACAATCTTAGTCTTGATCTTATAAACATAATCTGGATCTTGCCCTTAGAGTTACACTTTTGGTCTCATTTTTCGATTTTTCAAACCAGGTCACCGTTTTGGCTTAGTCTAATGGTGTAACTGTTGTATTTCTTAGGTCAGTTACACAGCCAGATATGTCAGTACGAAGAATCGCTGATAAATCATTTACAAAACATTCTTCAATCGGACGAGACATCGGTTGTCCTGAATTCGGCGAAGAGATTGTGCGAGACCGTTAAGGATTTCGCGACGCAGGTGACTGAGAGTGGCCTGGCGCGAACGGACGACTCCCTCGGAAAGAAGTGCGAAGTTCTCCAGCACAAATTGGAACTGCTTATGCACACTCTAACAAGTGAGCAACTTGATCTGGATAAATTTGTCGCTTCTTGTGAAGATGCGACGGCGAAATGTAATAAGGATGACACCGAGAGCGAGGCGTCTTATGATAAGAGCAAAGTTGAGAAAGAATTGAGCAATTTCAATTTCCGACGGCACAGGTATGTACCTACATAATATCAATTGTAATAGCAAAGCGAATCATCAATGACCGTTATCAGTATAGGCTCGTCAATCCTAAAACTGCTTCGACACGTACATCCATTCTTTCCTATCCTGAGCTAATCTTCGCATTTTTAACTATTTGCGAACAGTAATCTAATCTAGGCCTACCTCTACCTCTTCAAACTCCCGTTTCTGCCTCTAATATGTCTTTGACTAGACCTTCATGCCTGAGAAAGTGTCCTACCAACCTATCTCGCCAATTTTTTATTGACTTCCATAGAGTCCTCTGTTCTTCTATTCTTGCTAATACCTCTTCATTTCTAACCTTTTCTATCCACGGTATCCTCATCATTCGCCGTGAACACCACATTTCGAACGCTTCTAACCTTTTCTTTTCCACCCCGCCCACCGTCGATGTTTCGCATCCGTACAACTCCGCGCTCCAAACAAACACCCTTTACAATCTTTTTCGAATTTCTAAATTAACCGTTCGCGAGCATAAAAATGACTTCTTTTTATTGAAAGCGACTCGACCCTGCGCTATCCTCTGCTTTATAATCCCTACTATTCCTTCCGTCCTGACTTATCTGACTTCCCAGATAGCTAAAATCAGCGAGTTCGTCTAATTTTTCGTCTCCTATCTTTATATTCGCTCTTTCCTTACATGTTCTTCCCTTGCATACCAGTTTTTTTGTTTTACTTTTATTTATTTCCATACAATACTGTTTGGTATGATATTATAATGTGTTAATGTTTCAGTTTTTATTATTCTTGCTATTTAAATAGCTGTTAATTGACCTACTAACCTAATGGTAGGTGTTAGAATGTCATTTTAACAGTATCTACCAAGTGAGCAACAGCATTAGATTAAAAATACATATCTATTCTTATGTTGCCTCACATTTGCAAATATGTTTAATTTTCCCCTCAGTTTTAGTTTACTTAGAAATGTTTTACAATTCTATTTTTAATCAACTTCTTTAATAAAAGAAAACTAATTAGTACATTTTCAAACTATCTTACCTCTGTTGAATGTTTATGAATATTATCATTAGATATAAAGGCAGCGTTTAATAAAATTTGGGTAACAGACTTGTATTTGCTATCAAAAGAATGGTTGCCCTAACTTATATTGTGCAATTTACATTTTGAAAGCTTTGAAAGAACTTACTTATTTACCTCAAAATTGTTTGCGCAGGCAAAGTTTATGAAATTTTTATTTTTTTTTTGCTATGTTTTGAGCTCTATATGAGAAAAGACATGAGATAATCACTTTAAAATTTTATTATTATTTTCATGTAGGTGTACACTCACCCTTTAGCTTCATATTACTAATATTTTGAATCTTAAAGTCTACGCGCCGTGAATTTTGAAACGGATATTTTTTTATAGCTTGAATTACTACGATTTATTTTAATATTAAAAACAGTAAACAGTTTCCAGAATATTTCTTGGGGTGAATGTTCATCGCCTCAATTCAATCTTCTTGCTTCTCATTTTCAAACATCAATTCGATCTGCAGAGGGTAGAAAGTGAATGAAAAGAATTATTTTTTGTTTTGGAAATATAACCGCGACATATATTTTTCTCTTTTGTATTTTTCTGCTGTAAAACTCGTCTCTAACAAAAGTAATTAAGTTATCGACCTCAACAGGAATTTTGATGAGATTTAAAAGAAATATATATCGGTCTCGGTAAAATTCATAGACAGCAACAGTTTTGTTAATTAAATAACTTGGAATCGGAGTGGGACATATACATGTGTTTTCTGTTAGGTCAATATTCTGTTGCCACCATTTTTTTAATTAAGTAATTCGTATTATATAGGGTTGTTCGGAAAGTCATTTCGTTTTTTTCCCGACAGCACCCAACTTCACATTTAAGCCGTATAATTTTTATATGCTTTGAGAGCTCATATAGCAAGGCTTGTGTGTGAAAAATTCCAATTAATTCTACGCAGTAGTTTTTGGTTGGTGCCCTTTTAAATATGGAGAGCGATA